TAATTAACGCCCACAAGATAAACCTCCTGACTCAACAGGCACGCGATAGAAATGACAGCCTAGATGACAGAAGAATAGGTCACCTAATTTAGCCATATTCTTGCTACGTTCATTTCAATAGTTTTTCCTGTCTAGACTCTTAAACTCGTCCAGCAAGCTTATGGATTTGAATTATGAGTGTTTAAAAAAAGAAAATAACTTGGCCAAAAAAAGTGTAGGCCCGGGCCTACAGTGCTACATACTGGCTACGCCCCTGGTAGAATATGATTAGAGAAATATAATTACCAACGGCATGCAACGAAAATGAAGTAGGGAACGGAAAACTGATGAAGCAGGCGACAATTAACGAGTATAATGAGAAATAGATACACACTATATGACACTATAATAGTACATGCTTTATGATGCTTACATATTGCTTATATATATATCTAACATATTTACGCAGAAACTGGATATTTAGATTGTAATTACCGTGTACATATGGGGCGGGCGTGAGTGTGTGCCCGCGCGCGCGTGTGCGCGCGTGTGAGGGTGCGTACATGCGAGTGTGTGGCCTAGCTGTCTCTATATATATTTGTGTGTTTTTCATCTATATCTATCTCTTTGTCTGTAACCGTGTCTGCCGGCGTCTCTGTCTATGTGCGTGTCTGTATATTTGTGTCCGCGTGCGTTCTTCTCTTTCTTTCTTTCTTTATTTATTTATCACACGCATGTACACGCACAGTGACGCACACGCATTCGCACACGCACGCATGTGTGCGTTGGTGTGTCTGTCTGTCCATTATATCTTACCTGTCGTACCACAGAAATTATCCACAGCCTTTATAGATGCAATACTCGGCATATGCCAGTAAAAAAATAGCGAAAATAGCTTGCTTGAAAGAATTAATTCTGATGTGAATATTAGGTGTTGTTCCGCTAGATGGCGCTAAATACTGCAAGCATGATGGAGAACTTTGTAGATGTTTTTATTTTACTCTTCACGACAATCGTAGCATTTGCTGCTGGTAATGACACGGGAGGCTCTAGTTTTCATTACTCGGTAGAAGGCAAAGTACCATCACTACAGGATTACTACCCAGACTGGACCATACGGACGAGGATCTTAGTTAACGGCGGACAATACGTGGGCTTTCTCAAGCACGACGGCAGTTTCCAAGTTCAGAATCTAGCATCGGGTTCGTACGTGTTCGAGGTCGACAATGCCGACTTCGACTTCGAGCCCGTGCGCGTGGACATCAACAGCAAGGGTAAGATACGAGCGCGCAAGGTCAACTACATACAGAGCTCGCAGGTCAACACCGTGCAGTACCCGCTCAAGTTCCGGCTGCGCGGAGTCGCCAACTACTTCCAGAAGCGCGAGACTTGGCGCATCACCGACATGCTGATGAATCCGATGGTGCTGATGATGGTGGCGCCGCTGCTGCTGATGGTCGTGCTGCCGAAGCTGACCAGCATGCAGGATCCAGAGTCGCAGAAGGAGATGCAGGATATGCAGCAGCAGATCCAGCAGCCTCAGATGCCCGACATAGCAGAAAAGCTGACCAGCCTGTTCGGCGACAGCCGGCCGAAATCGATTAAAGCTAAAAAGGTGAAGAAGATTGATTAACGTTTCTCCTTGAAGTTTCCTCTCGATCCATCAATCCACGGATGCTTAGTAGCACCCAAGCCTGTTTGTTTTCTGCCCATGTCCTCATTTACTGAGAATTTCATTGGGAACCATATACACATGAGCATGTAATTGTAGCATGCGCAGTTTTGCAAGTTGTAGAAGCACTTCATGATAGGGAAACAGATGTGAAAGGGCCCCTAATAACATGAAAAGTAGCTTACACCCTTACTTAGGGAATATTGGGCTGTATAGTAACTAATACTAATACCGTATATGATCGCATAATAACCGCGGGCGCGCCTATAAGCCGCACCTCAATTTGAATCGGGTGACCAAGTATTGCGCCTAGTATATTTCCCCACACGGTATGGCACACTTATAAACCGCAGAGCAAATACAGGGTTGAAATCTGAGGCCAAATTTGCGGTTATTACGCGATCATATACGGTAGTCATGCTCACGACTGACCTTTCCTGAATGAAACTAGTTTTTATTCTCCGGATGAAAACCATCAGTTTGGTATTGACAGTTTGCCGGAAACATTTTAGAGGAGGGGATCAACGTAAACGTAGCAATTCATAAGTAATTGAGATTTTTTTCTATCAGTAAATATCCATGTTTCATGAAATTATTCTCAATTCTATTTTTTATATTTAGGTGAAGTGATCCATGAAAGTCAAGAGGAATGCCAAAGATGACAAGACAAAAAAGTGTCAGCCTGGCAGTGTTGATGTACTTATGCCGTCATGATCAATTCAAAATGTGGATAAAATTAGAATTAAAATTTTGTAACCGTTTTGACGGAAAACTAGGAAATTTCTGTTTGGCTCATTGCACCTGCTATAAAATTCATTGCATTTCTTAAGCATACCACAGAGGGGGCACATTGTGTTTTTGTATTACACGTTATACCATGAACATATGTATACTAGTACTACATAAACATGTATGTATATCGAGCATACATACGTTCATGGTCATACTATAGTAGTGCGTTAGAGAGCATATAGCACATAGCTAACAAAATGTTATTCTTCCTATGCAAGTTCCACTTTATCAATTTATTGTGATCGGTTTTATAAAGTCTGCAGTCACCAAATGTTATATATTTTAATAAAGGAATCGTTACTTGTAAAACTAATATGTAATTCAAGATTGTTTTCAATGAGTTGTTCTATATAAAGACGAGCATATTTATGTAGTGCATCTTCATAATAAAATCAGTAAATATCCTTTTGATTGGTAACTCAAAAAGTAGGCAGAATTTATTCATTAATTGTGAAAAACTTGCAGTAACATCGTGAATAATCACTACACATTTTTATTGCTACTTAAATTACAATACAAATGAATATGTACATAGTGCGTATATGGCAAAGAACTGATAGATATAAAGTGTTGCCATCGAATAGCCATTATAGATAAATGTTATTTTACTTTCATTATACACTCCTGGTTTGCAACGTGTGAAAATAAAATTTGTAAGCGCAAACATTTGTCAGTGTAACGAGATACAGCTGATAACTGATGAAAAGCTGTTATCCAAAATAAAATGATCCTAAATGCTCGAGTACAGTTATCTCTTAACATAAATTAAGAGGGAAACTAAACATACAAAAATCACAATGACAACGTTCATATTTATACATGCACGCAGCTAATTTTCGTCACTTACAAATGCAATTCATTCCTACAATAAAAGTGCAAGTGGATAACTTACTGTCTTCCCTATGCAGTTTCTCTCACAAACAACTTAGGGGAAATCATAGGTGGCAGCACTCTCCAGCTGTAGCTCTTCCTCGAGTTCCGTCAACTGCGGTTTGGAACTTTTCGCCGGCGCATCTGCCACGCCGACGCTTTCGTTCGCGTCGACAGAGGCGCCGCCGCCGACCGCATCCTCCTCGCACAGCATCTCAGCATCACGTGGCTTCGTCGATACGTCGCGCGGTTCGTCGTCTCGCGCCGCGTCGTCGTCGCCGGCCATTTCCGGCCGGTGTTCGCTTGTCATTGGCTCGTCGCCCGGAGGCTGCTGTCCCTCCTTACCGTGCTGCGATGGCAGCTGTGTCGCGGCGTCGTGGCTGTGCCGGCGCTTCTTCTTCCGCTTCTTGTTCTTCTTGTCGTGTTCGATCTCCACCTCGAAGATCTGGTTCAGCTGCTCCTTGGCGACGGACGACTTCGCTCGCATCAGCTGCAAGAACACGCCACCTGGTGTGCGACGCCGCGATCCGTCCTGCGAAAGGGGAATTGGCAAGCATATATCATGAGACTAGTGATGGGAATCGGTTGGAATATCATCAATGATGAAATTCCAACCCATTCCCATGATGATCATCAATCATCAGTTGCACCCAACCAATCGATGATCGAAGATAAATGTTATTGATCGAGGCTACCAGATATTGAAATATATCATATAATACAGTATTTTTTATAATACAACATTCTAAAAGCTATGTAACAGTATTATACCTGCTTATGTTTGGTGTAGGTTAGAAAAGTAACAAAAAAAACACACAAAAATAAAAATAGAGTCATTTCATCCATGTTTGCACATTTTATTTTAAATTAATTTTTTTTTTGGATAACCGATTATATATTTTCATAATCGAGCGCTTAGTCGGTTGCTGCAAACGACTGACTTTCAATTATAATCGATCATCGGGACATGACTACGTGACACCATAGGCATCAAACTCAGAAGAGGCTTTGCAAACAGTAAGCTTATTAGATTGGGATAATGAGATCGATTCCACGTAGAGATTATGCACTTATCAAAAGATAAACAATTAAGAAACTAAACTATGATAACACTTAACCCAATTGTAATCATAGATGGATAGACTTCAGTTTAGCCACATCAACGATTCTTAGGCCAACACTTCATGGTGGCTTTTCCAAAAATACAGACTAAAGATAAAGAGTTCTATGCCTTACCAGTGTCATGATACCGCCAGCACTTTCCACATCTTCAGTTTCCGCCATCAGTTCCAATGTCTTGACGCTACCTAGCGTGTCCACGACCCTCGCTACACACAGAACACATCAGGGGAAAAAATAGAATTTATTTTTCGGGGGCTACTTTTCAAGCTCGCGTGCATGAAAATAGCACTCTAAAATTTGGTTTGCATTGAACTCTATGCAAATTTACGGGGGCTCTTTTTGGCATTTCGGGGGCTAAATCGCCCCGAGCCCCCGTGTATTTTTTTCACTGGAACACATAGATTAATCTGAAAGCTTGCCAATTTGCAAAACAAAGCAGATTACCAAGGAACAGTTGCGGTTCAACATTAAAACACATCACATTAACATCAGGAATACATGAATAAAAAATACATTGCTAAATACAGTTCATCTTCAAATCAGTGCAATCAATCAAAGAAATGCACGCAGACGATAAATACGCCCAGATTTCTAGTAAGAGCACGCCACAGCTTCCATGACAACACCCTGCCTCGTGACGAGACACCCACCCACCTATCAATCCAGCCTTGGACTCCCGCAGTCTGTACACCAACTCATGGACGATCTTCTCTGGCGGGTCATCCGCACACAGCTCCACCTGGTGCTTGATCGGCGCACCGACGGGCACCGTCGAACCGAGCCGCGAGTGCACCGACCTCGGGCGTGAACCCAGCCTCGCACGAACCCCTCTGTTTCGCCCTCTGCCGCCCTCCTCCCCCTCCCTCGCTCCCTTGTTCCCGTCCCTCCCGCCTCCTTCCCCGTCCCTTGCTCCCTCCTTCCCCTCCCTCGCTCCCCCGTTCCCGTCCCTCCCGCCTCCTTCCCCATCCCTTGCTCCCTCCTCCCCGTCGCTCGTCACTGCGGAGGAGGAGGAGCTGTCCTCCCTCTTCCTCTTCGCGTTGGGGTTCAGCGTGATGTAGTCGTAGCTCTCCGCGGCGCGATCGTTACTCAGCTCATCAGCATTCATCGCGAACCCCGTCAGGCCCTGCGACAGTATCTGCTCCTGCACCACCGACGCCCACACCGCGTTCGCACGCCGACGGCCAGGCTTCCCGCCGCCGTTGCCGCGGAAACCGTTCGCGGCGGCGCGCGGAGACGGCGCGGGTGGCTGCGGCGCCGGCGGCGGGGGTTTCCCGCGTTTGGCTCGCTTCCAGGATCTGTCGCCGGCGCCGTCGTCGTCGTCGCTGTCGTTGCTGCTGGTGTCACTGTCGCCGCTGCTCAGCGGTTTCGCCTCGCTCGTCACATCTCGTCGTCGGAGCGGATCGACGAAGGTCGCAGTCGATGTCGAAATCTGCGAAGGGTGATGGGATTCGACTTGCTGTGATTACCTGCATGTTTTTCTACGTCGGCTCGACATTTAGACCGTTTATACTTAGTTACAAAACGTTCAGTTTTATGTTGTTGTTGTTATTATGGTGTTTTTTTTGTAACAACTGGTTTTAACGTTGAATTTGAAGGAGAGAAGAAAAGAAGATTAAGAGGTTGGTTGAGGAAGAGGAAGACTGAAGAGTTAGAATGGGAAAGAAGATGCTGATAAACGACTAAGGACGAAAAGGAACAATTTGTACTACAGCACAGAGCTAACACCACAGGCACTTGGAACGTCTCAATAAAAAAAAAAGAGTAAATAAACACGAAATTTATTTACTACCAAAGTCACAATGTTTCTCTACTCAATTTCGCCTATAATCACCTGTAAATGCCAGTCAAATGCTCATCTGCAACACACAAGTACACCGCATGCTAGCTGCTGCACACTGACACATAAATATATAGCAGGTAGGAAAGCGTGCTGCCAAAATTCGCTCGACGCTCGCTTGATTTCACACGAATACAACACAAACATACAACCATTCTACTCCATCTTTGTTTCTATTTGAAGGGCAGAGTTTACTTGTTATAAAAACATACTGTCTGTGTTCGTAACCAAGCTGTGTCACGCGAAATCACACAAAACCTGACGAAATTCTCGCATTCGCTCCCGTTGCGCAGTTTATGTAAATGGCTGTCGGAATCAGGAAACACCCACCGGCGCTCTTCGTCACCTCATTTTTGCGCTGCATTATTGCAACGCTCCACTGGCGGCTTTGACGAGGCTCGTCCGGGAGTTGGAAAGCAGCGTGGTAGTTTCACAAAATGCAGTGCACCGCCTATATAGCCCTGTACTTGCAGCCATTTACATAAACTTCGCAATGAGAGCGAACGCGAGAATTTCCTCAAGCTTTGTGTGATTTCGCGTGACATCGCTCGGTTACGAACACAGACAGTATGTTTTTATAACAAGTGAACACTGACCTTCAAATAGAAACAAAGATGGAGTAGAATGGTTGTATGTTTGTGTTGTATTCGTGTGAAATCAAGCGAGCGTCGAGCGAATTTTGGCAGTACGCTTTCCTACCTGCTATATATTTATGTGTCAGTGTGCAGCAGC